GCCTCTGCAACACCCTTTCCAACAGCTTCCCAATGCCCTTCGACACCATGGAAGCAAGAGTACTGTTCCAACCCTAAAAGGCTGCCAGAAGAGACCACCAGACTTTCATCATTGACACCAAGAGTACCTGTCAACCCTAAAAGGCCGCCAGAGGTGACCAGCAGACTTGCACCAAGAGGCTGAACTTGAAGATTGAACCTCAAGCTTTGCATGCTTTGCTTTGTTTGATGCTTTATTAATGTTCACTGTTTCTCTTAGTTATATAGCTTACTGTTTATCTTGGTTATATAGTTATCTGCTATACAGATAGTATTACTGTCTACTGCTTATCTTAGTTTATAGTTATTTTTTTCTCTCTTCTTATTTTAATAGTGGAATTTACAATTCCAGGCGGGGAGTGTGCTGTCCAGCCAGTGTATGGGAATTGGATAGTTAGGTAGCAGTTGTGAGCTGTCCCCTTAAGCGAATGCATCATGGTAAATGTAGTTAAGGTATCCTGGGAAATGAAGTCTATATCACGTGACCACATCTGTAATCCTGATTGGTCACTAAATTGACCCTCGATGGGTTGGAGGAGGTTTCCTCACTCTTGGCTGAACTCACGGATTCATGGTAACTGTTCTATTTCTACCGCTACGAGATGAGAGAAAAAGGATAGCAGATAATCATCTTTTTACCTACAAGACAGATACGCAAAGGATTGGTCATTAATGAAGAACTTTGTCACAAATGTGAGTTATGAGGATACCTGATGAACCAATAAAAGTATTTTGTTATGGATGTTTTGTGGAATTTATCTATCTGCATCTGTACAGAAGACAAATCTACCACTGTACAGAATACAGAACAAATACTACAAATAGCCTTTCCTGAACTATTTAACAGTAGACATCAAACTTTCTCATCTGAGTGCAATTGCTGTGAGTGTATCAGAAAATGGTGAAAGCTGTGCTATTAAATTGGAACAGCAGAAAGCTTCACAGAAGAGGCTGACATAACCATTATCAACCTGGGAAGAGCTATGAATATTTTCTAGAAACCGACATTTTGAGCAGAATGCTTCTATAAACAATCTCCTTTGAACAGTTTAAAAGTTTAAAAGAGAAAACTGAATTATTTCTTACCTTGTTTAACTGGGCTATTATCTGGAATAGGTTTATCTTTCTAAAAGAAAGAAACAAGCAAAACACCTTCAAGAATTTGTAAACTTATTTTTTAATTATATATAAGTACATAAACACATCCATCACACTATTCCCTACTCAGTTTAAAGCTGCATTGCACTTGCTAGTTTTGCCAATTATAACATTTTTTAACTTTCACACAGATATCTGTTAAGGTACAGACATAATTAACTACTTCTTGGGTACATTCACTTTAGCTACCTATTCCTTTGTAAATGAAAATAATAACAGCATTCTTTCAACCTTCAGACAAAGATACAATTTTTACACATTAAGCAAATTGCACAGTACTCTATGAGGAAGTCAAATATGTATTTTAGCATTTTTTCAGTTATATCATTTTACACTACACTCTTACCACTTTTAATATTATCACAACAGTTGCATGCTCCTTTTCATAAACATTTATGCTAAATTTATTGAAAATCATATCCTGTAAAATCTAGGCTAAACATTGGCTGAAGGATGGCTAGAACTCAGGTTGAAGAGTGTCTCCATAATCAAACTGTCAAAAGTGGGGATAGCTAACCCTAGTAATTTATACAATGTTGGAAATTTAAGCCTACCTATAAAAGGGGGAAGAGAAAAAGAGAACAAATTCATTCATAGAAGCCCATAAGACTGTAGATAAGAAATCCTTAAGAATTGGATTCATGATGAAGTTTATAGAAGTTCAAATATAGGCAACTAAGTAAATAATTACAGTGAGAAGATTTAGAAATAAGAATTAGCAATTTTGTTTAAAGACAAATTACAACTTTTGAATAATGAATCTTCTCATGTAGTAAAAGGATAAAAATATCTTGCACTGTGATCTATATTATTCCTCCAAGAAGTAGCTGTTATAATTCCAAAAAAATTCAGTACTGAAAATGAACAAAATATTTACCTCTGTTGTTTCCATATTTATAAGATTCTTTTCTTCATTTTCACATAATAGACTGCTTAGTTCCTCTTCATTAAGAGCTTGATCTTCATAATATTCTGCTGCATCTGGTTCTTTCTCTTCTTTTTCACAATCTTTGTTTTCATCATGGACTTTTTCATTGTCATCATCACTGCTAATACAAGTTGCTTCCTCATCAGACATATTTTGATCCTTTGATAAGAAGACAGACATTTTATTGCTAAGTTTATGAATCAAAGCTTCTTATCTCCACATCAAAATTTCACATTGGCCAGACACTGCAAAATAGAATTTTGCCATTTAAAGAATTTTTAGAAAGAGATAAGAGCTTCATTTCTCTCCCCCCCCCCCCCCCAAAAAAAAAAGACGGGGAAGATTGGCAATTTGACAATGTAACAAACATTACAGTGTGTAATGAGATAGATAGCATTTCATTTTCCAAAAACTTAACTAAAAATGAAGAGTTTACCTCTATGGTTTCTACAGCCATATGATTATTTTCTCCATTCTCAAAATATGTATTGCTCTTTTCCTCTTTAGGAACCTGAGCAGTATTAAATTGTTTTTCTTGATGTTTCCCTTTTTGTTCTTGTTCTACTTGTTCTTCGGTATTATAACTATCACTTCTATCTTCCTCATCAGATGACTGTTGAAACTGTAATGTTTTTAAGATAGACATTAGGTATACATCAAAAAGAACAAAACTTTCTGTCAATATAGTTGCATTGCAATATTGCAGGTCAAATAATGTAATTTACATGTTGTGATTTAAAGATATTTAAAGACCAGAACAGTTTTGTTTATAAAGAAATTCTGTGAAATTCTGAACAGTTGAACTGAAAGCTGGCAAAACCAATGACTTCAAAGAAAGTAAATTAATTCTGGCACAGAATGTAAATTCCTTCTAAGTATCTCATTTTGCAACTTCATTAAAATGTTGAAAATACAGTAAATATTTAAACATTCTATTTTTAAATTATGCAAATCATAAATTAAACTTATTTGGAAGCTGGCATGATATAGTGGTTAAGTTGCTGGACTAGGAATGAGGTTCTTGGGCTACTCAACATTTCTCTGTGTTATCAGCATCAGGTCCTGCAATAAATCAGTTGATAAACAAAAGCACTCTTCTCCTCATTTACTGAAGTTTCACCATGAGAACGAGGTGACTAATGGTGGAAAAATAAGCAAGGGCTGCAAGGTGGGCCAGGGGAGAAGAAGTGGAAGAAGGAAGAGGGCAAGGGAAGGAGGGAGGGAGGGGACAGGGAGAAGGATAATTCAATTAAACTAATTTCACACAAAACTTAGTGGGAACTATAATCATAATTATATTGGAAGCTTCTGAGGCAGGTTCTTGCCCTGTTATCTGGGAACGGTTTGACCCTGTTGCTTCTGAGGAAGTAGACAGGATCCTAGGGAGTATGCGCTCGAGCACCTGCATTTTAGACCCATGTTCCTCTTGGCTTGTGAAAGCTTCCCAGGACGTGACAGGCGGGTGGACTCTGGCAGTGATTAATGCTTCTCTACAGGAGGAGACGATGCCCCAGCACTTTAAGGAGGCTGTGGTCAGCCCTCTTCTTAAGAAGCCATCACTGGACTCCACCTGGTTGGATAATTTCCGACCTGTCTCCAATCTTCCCTTTTTGGGGAAGGTTGTTGAGAAGGTGGTCGCGCAGCAGCTCCAGAGGTTTCAGGATGAAACGAATTATCTTGACCCCCACCAGTCAGGATTCAGGCCTGGATTTGGGACAGAAACAACATTGGTTGCACTTTTAGTTGATCTCTGGTGGGAGTGGGATGGGGGTAGTGCATCCATCCTTGCTCCACTTGACCTCTCAGAGGCTTTTGATACCGTTGATCATGGGATTCTCCTGGGGGGGGGGCTTTGGAGGATGGGAGTGGGAGGCCTTGTGCTGTCTTGGTTCACTTCCTTCCTCTGCGGCCGCTCTCAGTCAGTGTTGATAGGAGGGGAGAGATCCAACCCTCTTGCCCACTGCCTTACGGGGTTCTGCAGGGCTCGGTACTCTCTCCGCTCCTGTTCAACATTTATATGAAGCTGCTGGGTGAGATCATCCATCACCATGGACTGAGGTATCACCAATATGCTGATGATACTCAGCTGTATGTCTTGGCCCGTGGTGAGTTGAGTGTTGCTGTGTCCTCCCTCTCGCAGTGCCTGGAGGCTGTTAGGGGCTGGATGCGGAGCAATGGGTTGAAACTAAACCCTTGCAAGACCGAGTGGCTCTGGGTCTGGGGTTCATTGGTTCAGGGAGAATTACCACCTTTAGTCTTGGATGGGGTGGCACTACCCCAAACAGACCCTGTACATAATCTAGGCATTTTCCTGGACTCACAAATCCTGTTCGAAAAGCAGGTGGTGGTCATGGCCAAGAGGGCCTTTGCGCAACTGCGAGTTGTGTACCAGTTACGCCCTTTCCTGGATCTGCAGTCCCTACTCACAGTCACTCATGCCCTGGTGACTTCCTGTCTTGATTATTGCAATGTGCTCTACATGGGGCTGCCCTTGAAGAGCATCCGGAAGCTCCAGTTTGTGCAAAATGCAGCAGCCCACATGGTTTTATGCAGACCCCAGTGTGCACATGTATCACCTCTCCTGCAGGAGCTGCATTGGTTGACAATTTGCTTCTGTGTGCAATTCAAGGTTCTGGTTGTCACCTTTAAAGCCCTTCATGGCTTGGGTCCGGGTTATCTGAGGAAACATCTCTTGCCAGTGACATCTACCCGACCCATTAGAGCGAGGAGGCAGGGAATGCTGCGGGTCCCACCCCTGAGGGAGATACACCTGGTGGGACCTAGAAGAAGGGCCTTCTCTGTGGTGGCTCCATCTCTCTGGAACATCACTCCCCCAGAGATTAGAATAGCCCCCTCATTAATACTATTCCGAAAGGCACTGAAGACCTGGTTTTGCCAGCGGGCCCGGGAAACCCAGAAAGGGATGGAACCCATCAGATGGCTAGTGTGATCCGCTGTCGTCGGGGTGGGGGGTGAGAGTTGGTTTTTGTTTTTTGTTTTTTTTGTTTTGTTTTTTGTTTTCCCAAATTTTGTTCTATTGTACTTTACCAATTTATTTGATTCTTTTTGTTAGTTCTTATTGTTTTTGTTTTTATTTTTTGTTTTAAATATGATTTTACATTGTGTAAGCCGCCTCGTGTTGCCATGGGCGAATAGGTGGCAATATAAATCAAATAAATAAATAAATAAATAATAAATACTTTCAATTAAATAAATAAATAAATAATAAATACTTTCAATTACCAATACTGTATATGATATGATATGACTTCAGTCTGAACAAACTTATTGAAATAGTTTTAAAGACTTCTCTATGAAGAGAAATCTTAAAATTATAAAAAGTCCAACAAACTTTATATTAATAAAACTGTCTTGTATTCATAACAGTTCTGTAGAAAATAAGTCCAAAGCAGGAGCAGTAGAAAATACCATGGATTTAATTGGAAATAGAATGTTGATATTATGTTGATTTAAAATTTGTGTTTTACTGAGATTAAATGCTGTATTAATTATTTAAACAGTTTATTTTACACTGAGTAAACTAAAATAGTGGTGTTTGATATATACAATTATTATATGGCATTTTTCCAATCTTTTATAAACTTGCCAATAAGATTGATTCTACTTCTGAATACACCTATTTTCCCAAATCAGTTATTGTGTCATTTTTTTCCAGTATTTTACTAAAGACAATGACATTAATTAACTGAAGAAATATTTTAATTGATAAGTAACTGTTGCAAAACAAGTGCAGCTCAATTGCAATTTCTATTATACAAAGAAAAATTATCCCAGTTGTTTATCTGCTAGAGAATGACAAAATAACAATTATCAATCAAAAGTTCTAAGTCAATGGACGTTGTATCTTCACACATCCCCACTCCTGGTAAGCATCAAATCTTTGTCCTCAATTAATTGTAAAAGGCCTCTTTTTAGTTTTTTTTTATAATCTTCTCAAATTTTAGTTATATTTCCAGATTCCATAGTCCTGGAAAATTAGAAAAATGCTCATTATATACATAAGAATGAGTACCTAAACTAATCAACTATTTCAATTTCCCTTTTGTTATTGAACAATTTAAATCAAATTATACTGAATTAGATTTTTTTTCCAAAAAGGAGAGGATAGAATATTTGATAAAAGATAAAAGAAGGATGTGGGAAAATATACATACTTCACATTCTTGGATGAGAGGAACTTAGTTACCTGCTGGCATGCCAGCAACTGGAGAGAAGTCTCAATTTTTCCCACAGCAAACATCTCAAGTTGATCCATTAATGATGCAGGTAATGATCTTCCCTAGAACATTTCTTTAATTCAAGCATAAACTCAAAATCTCTCCTGCCCATTCAAACATTTTCAACATCTCAGGATAGTTTTCTGTTCCTCACAACAGGTGATTTGTATGAAATCTTATTCAATTTACTTGATTTGATTTCCATTTTGCCAAATGACAAAAGGCAAGATAATATATTATTATAACAAACAGAAGGGTAATTTAAATAGACATGAATACTAATATGATAGTATCTTAAATGTAATAGTTTCACTTTTATTTACTGTACTAACAAACAAAAATTTGAGGCCTACTGATTGCTCATACTATGCCTTATGCATCAGCTGAAATTCAAAAGTTATTTGAAGATGTAATGATTTATTTTATGCAGAAGAGACCCTAGTTTGAATACAGATTAGAGCTTTCTTTGCTATTTTATTATTAGCAATTCTTACAAAACATTGAGAAAATGGAGGAATAAATCACTGTGGCCAAATCATCCGTGTATCTGTCATTTCTTCACTGGAAGAAGAAAAGGCAGGGGGGAGACTGATAAAGAAATCCTTTCTTGATGTAACCTGAATATATTTAATCTTATATCGAATTTGTATAACCCACACATGATACAATGGAAGGGAAAAAGCCAGATGGCCGGAACCTATCACCTCTGAGAGGCACAGCCAGGAGATGAAAAGATCATAAAAATTCCACAGTGAGATGTGTCCTGGAAATCTCTGGAAAAGTTTGTTTTAAAAAGGGGGTGGGGGGAAATTAGGTATGCCCTGGGAAACTGTGAAAAAGATCGTTTCTACAGAAGGGGTGGAGGGGGGAATTAACATACTGGCTTTTGTTTCACCAAATACACATTGAGATAAGGGGTGGGGTTTCTAAACTCCCTTATCTATCCCTGTATGCCTGAGGGACCTCAGACGCTGCTTTGAACTCCTACATGAATTGTTTCATCTCAATAAAGGATTCCTTTTGATACATTTGGTGTTCAGAAGTTTATTCTTGTTAATTGAATGGGAAAAAGTTCTGTAGCCTGACATAAAGCAGTGTCTACAATAGAGATCAGCCCGGAGAGGAATTAAAAAAAAAAAAAAACCTTCACTCTACCGAGGGGACCCTGCAAAAAAGGAAAATGTCTGAGTACAGCAAGGACCAAGGGGAAGCCGAATGCTGGGGAGAAACATCGAGTTACCCAGCCAGATACTGACTCGGTGCACCCCATCAAAGATAGCGAAGCTGCCTACAAAACCTCCACAAAGCCCCAGTGGTCTGTAGGTGTCGGAAAGAGAGACAGCTGGGACAGAAGAACCAGGGAAGTAACCCTCACCCGGGGCAA